TGGTGGCGGCTCCCTGTTCGGAGGCGGGGGCGGCGGTGGCAGGAAACTCAGTCCTTCGTAAGTTGTCTGACGCGGCCTTATGGTGAGCTTTGTGTGAAGAATCGGCTCCTGCGGGGAGAAGCACCCAACCCGGTGGCGTGTCTGGAGCCCCTAGGCACAAGCCTCTTCGGGTCCAGCGCCTCCAGTGCACCCGGCATGTTCAAGCCCACCTTGAACTGCTGCGGCAGAGACTGCGTGTGGCTGCACTAGTACGGCAGCGACTTTTCATATGACATGTTTCTGCAGTTTGCCAGTCAGGCAGTGCTGCCGGACTTTCCAGTGGTGGGCCACGGCCCCAAATAGGGCTTCCGGGCCACAGCAAGTAGCAATTCCACGTCGGCAGCAAACTAAGTAAACTCGAGGTCCGCCGGCGGCAGCCTGTTCGGAGGTGATCCGTCGACAGGCCTGGGCGCAAAATTGTGGACACCTGTATCAGATTCGGGATGCATCCTTAATTGCGATCATCCAAAACATGCTCTAGTGCCAATGTTCTGCGAGCAAGACATTTAGCGCTGTCAAGATCATGAGTAAGACATTGTAGGCACCTCTTCACGCACTCCACGTGCTGACATGGCACATGGTTAGCGGGTGCTTCGCAGTCAGAGACCGCAGTACTTTCGGGCAGGCGGTGGTGGCGGCTCCCTGTTCGGAGGCGGGGGCGGCGGTGGCAGGAAACTCAGTCCTTCGTAAGTTGTCTGACGCGGCCTTATGGTGAGCTTTGTGTGAAGAATCGGCTCCTGCGGGGAGAAGCACCCAACCCGGTGGCGTGTCTGGAGCCCCTAGGCACAAGCCTCTTCGGGTCCAGCGCGTCCAGTGCACCCGGCATGTTCAAGCCCACCTTGAACTGCTGCGGCAGAGACTGCGTGTGGCTGCACTAGTACGGCAGCGACTTTTCATATGACATGTTTCTGCAGTTTGCCAGTCAGGCAGTGCTGCCGGACTTTCCAGCGGTGGGCCACGGCCCCAAATAGGGCTTCCGGGCCACAGCAAGTAGCAATTCCACGTCGGCAGCAAACTAAGTAAACTCGAGGTCCGCCGGCGGCAGCCTGTTCGGAGGTGATCCGTCGGCAGGCCTGGGCGCAAAGTTGTGGACACCTGTATCAGATTCGGGATGCATCCTTGCGATCATCCAAAACATGCTCTAATGCCAATGTTCTGCGAGCAAGACATTTAGCGCTGTCAAGATCATGAGTAAGACATTGTAGGCACCTCTTCACGCACTCCACGTGCTGACATGGCACATGGTTAGCGGGTGCTTCGCAGTCAGAGACCGCAGTACTTCCGGGGAGGCGGTGGTGGCGGCTCCCTTTTCGGAGGCGGGGGCGGCGGTGGCAGGAAACTCAGTCCTTCGTAAGTTGTCTGACGCGGCCTTATGGTGAGCTTTGTGTGAAGAATCGGCTCCTGCGGGGAGAAGCACCCAACCCGGTGGAGAAGCGTGTCTGGAGCCCCTAGGCACAAGCCTCTTCGGGTCCAGCGCCTCCAGTGCACCCGGCATGTTCAAGCCCACCTTGAACTGCTGCGGCAGAGACTGCGTGTGGCTGCACTAGTACGGCAGCGACTTTTCATATGACATGTTTCTGCAGTTTGCCAGTCAGGCAGTGCTGCCGGACTTTCCAGTGGTGGGCCACGGCCCCAAATAGGGCTTCCGGGCCACAGCAAGTAGCAATTCCACGTCGGCAGCAAACTAAGTAAACTCGAGGTCCGCCGGCGGCAGCCTGTTCGGAGGTGATCCGTCGACAGGCCTGGGCGCAAAATTGTGGACACCTGTATCAGATTCGGGATGCATCCTTGCGATCATCCAAAACATGCTCTAATGCCAATGTTCTGCGAGCAAGACATTTAGCGCTGTCAAGATCATGAGTAAGACATTGTAGGCACCTCTTCACGCACTCCACGTGCTGACATGGCACATGGTTAGCGGGTGCTTCGCAGTCAGAGACCGCAGTACTTCCGGGGAGGCGGTGGTGGTGGCTCCCTTTTCGGAGGCGGGGGCGGCGGTGGCAGGAAACTCAGTCCTTCGTAAGTTGTCTGATGCGGCCTTATGGTGAGCTTTGTGTGAAGAATCGGCTCCTGCGGGGAGAAGCACCCAACCCGGTGGAGAAGCGTGTCTGGAGCCCCTAGGCACAAGCCTCTTCGGGTCCAGCGCCTCCAGTGCACCCGGCATGTTCATGCCCACCTTGAACTGCTGCGGCAGAGACTGCGTGTGGCTGCAGTAGTATGGCAGCGACTTTTCATATGACATGTTTCTGCAGTTTGCCAGTCAGGTAGTGCTGCCGGACTTTCCAGTGGTGGGCCACGGCCCCAAATAGGGCTTCCGGGCCACAGCAAGTAGCAATTCCACGTCGGCAGCAAACTAAGTAAACTCGAGGTCCGCCGGCGGCAGCCTGTTCGGAGGTGATCCGTCGACAGGCCTGGGCGCAAAATTGTGGACACCTGTATCAGATTCGGGATGCATCCTTGCGATCATCCAAAACATGCTCTAATGCCAATGTTCTGCGAGCAAGACATTTAGCGCTGTCAAGATCATGAGTAAGACATTGTAGGCACCTCTTCACGCACTCCACGTGCTGACATGGCACATGGTTAGCGGGTGCTTCGCAGTCAGAGACCGCAGTACTTCCGGGGAGGCGGTGGTGGCGGCTCCCTTTTCGGAGGCGGGGGCGGCGGTGGCAGGAAACTCAGTCCTTCGTAAGTTGTCTGATGCGGCCTTATGGTGAGCTTTGTGTGAAGAATCGGCTCCTGCGGGGAGAAGCACCCAACCCGGTGGAGAAGCGTGTCTGGAGCCCCTAGGCACAAGCCTCTTCGGGTCCGGCGCCTCCAGTGCACCCGGCATGTTCTAGCCCACCTTGAACTGCTGCGGCAGAGACTGCGTGTGGCTGCACTAGTACGGCAGCGACTTTTCATATGACATGTTTCTGCAGTGTGCCATGCGTCAGGCAGTGCAGTGTGCCATGCGTCAGGCAGTGCTGCCGGACTTTCCACTGGTGGGCCGTGGCCCCAAAACCGGGCTTCCGGACCCGGCAGACAGTTTCGCACTTTGAGAACCTCGGCCCGGAGCAGCGAATCGGGGGAACTCGAGGTCCACAGGAGGCCTCTTCGGGGGTGATCCCTCGACAGGCCATCCGAGTTGTTTGCTTCTGGTTAGGTCTCATGTATAACTCTATAACACGCTCTTGTGTCAATTCCTGCCAGCAATGGCTGGCGCGTGCTTCGCAGACAGATAGCACAGTTCTTCGCCAGGAGGTGGAGGCTCCCTCTTCGGAGCCGGGGGTGCTGGCAGCAAGCTGAGTCCTTCGAACGCCGTCTCAGATAGACTCACGGCGAGGCTTTTCCGATCCATATGTTGTGCTTCTTGCAAGAGGTTTGGAGTGTTCCATCGGAGTTTTAAGATATCGGCACCAGGTGCATCCAGCGGAGCTCTACCCGCGAGTGGGTGGCACCCCTAGTTCACTGGCTGTACGTGACCACAGCTGTGCAGCTCTGAGAGTGATCTGACTGCCTGCAGCACTGAGGGCTGCTGGCAGCCTCTTCGGTGGCCCGCCCGCGTCAGGCTGACAGGGTTGAACAAATCGGTTTACCAGCAGCTGGATGTGAGTGTTTTGAATGCCATCAGAGGCACACACTATTTTTCCATCATCACCACCGGCCAGCAAATGGAATTGGGTGGGGGAGTAGGTAATGAAATTCCGCTGTGGATTCCGTGTATGGTTTCGGGAAACTGGAGCCGCGGGATTGGTCAGGATCCCTATTCTCTTCCATCTCACGCCTGCTTGGACAACTGCAAGGTTGACGGGGGTAATCGCCCCCACGTTTGCCAATTCCACGGCCCATGCTCGGAGAACCATTGAGAGAGCAGATTCGTACATGAGTCTTGAGAAGTTTGTACATGATCGTCATACGATGACGGACGTATGAGAGAATCAGTAATGCTTGTAACGTCACTAAACAGTACAACTCAAATCAAAGCAACGCTGTGGGGCATCCCCAGGACCATGTCCGCACCTGTCCTAGCTTAGAGAGATGCTTGTGATGATCAGCCCACGACTCACTCGCTCCTCCCGCACTGCCCTCCCTCACTCACAGACTTGTTCCCTCACTCGCTCACTCACCCGCTCACTCACTCACCCGCTCGCTTAGTCACTCACTGATTCACTCGCTCACTGGCTTACTCGCTCACTCGCTCGCTCGCTCACTCACTCACTCACTTACAAACCTGCAGAGACGCAAACGGACCGCGTCCCCACGCCTCGTGCCGTTTGTGGCCGACATCGAAGCAGAATTTCAAAGGGTTTCCCTCTGCCGGATTTCGTTTTTGGCCAAGAAACGCAGAACAAGCTAGGACTGGGTTCAATGGTGATCATCTGCCACAAACATGGAGCACGCTATTTTGCCAAATTGCTGACGACAGTGCGAAGGAAGCAGTAGTGCTGGATCATCGGACCAGCAAACAATCACGATGGGCGAAAGGTCTCGGTGTTTCCTGCAAGTAAAGCATAGTGAAAATGTCTCAGGCTCCGTTGAGCCGGTGTTGCCTTCTGCCGTCAGGTGGAGCTGCCCCCTCGGGCGGTGGGTGGCACCCTCGGAGCGCAATAGGTATCTAGCGATCACGACGGTCGAGAGTTTCAGGTGTGAGGAGTGGCCGTGAGATTCCAGGTCCTCCGGCGGCAGCTTGTTTGGCAGCGCCCCGGCATCAGGCGTGTCGCCGAAAGCTCGAAGAATTTGGTGAGCCGAGTGAGAAGCAAAAACATGAGTCACGTCGATGCTTCCAGCGCTAGGAGGAGCAGCAGGAGGAGCATCCCTCTTCGGCGCCGGCAGCAGTGGTGACGCACTCAGTGTTCAGATATTCAGGCAGCTACCGTTTGCAGAGACCTTCTTGGCTTCTTGGAGCCTGGCAAGCAACTTGCATTTGCGACAAAGGTGGTGCAAGCATCTTTGGCGCGGCCGCAACTGGCGGATCTGGCATGTACAACAGCTGCCCAGCTGCCGCCAAATCTGATGCCTGTGTCTACCAAGCTTTCCTCAGCAACGGTTCCTCTGATGGGCACCAGGTGGAGCTGCTAGCAGTGCGCGGATTCCTCAGAGTGGTTGTCCTGCAGCCAGTGCGATTCCGCATTCCCGCCATCAGCATGCGCTCATGCGCTGCAGCTCCGCCAGACAGATTCACTCCGCAAAAGTTCAGGAAAACCAGTTTGTCGGGTATCCGAGGTCCTCCGGCGGCAGCTTGTTTGGCAGCGCCCCGGCATCAGGCGTGTCGCCGAAAGCTCGAAGAAGTTGGTGAGCCGAGTGAGAAGCAAAAACATGAATCACATCGATGCTTCCAGCGCTAGGAGGAGCGGCAGGAGGAGCATCCCTCTTCGGCGCCGGCAGTAGTGGTGACGCACTCAGTGTTCAGATATTCAGGCAGCTACCGTTTGCAGAGACCTTCTTGGCTTCTTGGAGCCTGGCAAGCAACTTGCATTTGCGACAAAGGTGGTGCAAGCATCTTTGGCGCGGCCGCAACTGGCGGATCTGGCATGTACAACAGCTGCCCAGCTGCCGCCAAATCTGATGCCTGTGTCTACCAAGCTTTCCTCAGCAACGGTTCCTCTGATGGGCACCAGGTGGAGCTGCTAGCAGTGCGCGGATTCCTCAGAGTGGTTGTCCTGCAGCCAGTGCGATTCCGCATTCCCGCCATCAGCATGCGCTCATGCGCTGCAGCTCCGCCAGACAGATTCACTCCGCAAAAGTTCAGGAAAACCAGTTTGTCGGGTATCCGAGGTCCTCCGGCGGCAGCTTGTTTGGCAGCGCCCCGGCATCAGGCGTGTCGCCGAAAGCTCGAAGAAGTTGGTGAGCCGAGTGAGAAGCAAAAACATGAATCACATCGATGCTTCCAGCACTAGGAGGAGCAGCAGGAGGAGCATCCCTCTTCGGCGCCGGCAGTAGTGGTGATGCACTGAGTGTTCAGATATTCAGGCAGCTACCGTTTGCAGAGACCTTCTTGGCTTCTTGGAGCCTGGCAAGCAACTTGCATTTGCGACAAAGGTGGTGCAAGCATCTTTGGCGCGGCCGCAACTGGCGGATCTGGCATGTACAACAGCTGCCCAGCTGCCGCCAAATCTGATGCCTGTGTCTACCAAGCTTTCCTCAGCAACGGTTCCTCTGATGGGCACCAGGTGGAGCTGCTAGCAGTGCGCGGATTCCTCAGAGTGGTTGTCCTGCAGCCAGTGCGATTCCGCATTCCCGCCATCAGCATGCGCTCATGCGCTGCAGCTCCGCCAGACAGATTCACTCCGCAAAAGTTCAGGAAAACCAGTTTGTCGGGTATCCGAGGTCCTCCGGCGGCAGCTTGTTTGGCAGCGCCCCGGCATCAGGCGTGTCGCCGAAAGCTCGAAGAAGTTGGTGAGCCGAGTGAGAAGCAAACACATGAATCACATCGATGCTTCCAGCGCTAGGAGGAGCGGCAGGAGGAGCATCCCTCTTCGGCGCCGGCAGTAGTGGTGACGCACTCAGTGTTCAGATATTCAGGCAGCTACCTTTTGCAGAAACCTTCTTGGAGCCTGGCGTGTAACTGGAGTTTACGAGATGTTCCGGAAGGGTCGGTAGCCGGTAGCATCTATGACAGCGGCCACATGGCGTGACGCGAACATGGGGCCAGAGGTTTCCCGACATTGTTACGACCTGGGCTCTGCATGGTGCCGCAGCAAAGTTCAGATCTCCATAAGTGCATCGGCATCGGCCCCCAATGCTTCTCAGCTTCAGTGCTATTCAGGTGGCGCTTCGATGTTCGGAGGCGGCAGCGGCAGCGGCAGTGCGCCGCCGAGCCATCGATCTGCGAAGAGTCAAGTTTTTGGATTCCGGGTGCTCTGAATTTTCAACGAAGGTGCTGGCCTGTTTGGCTCGGCTGCTTCCGGCGGACCTGGCATGAGTGAGAATCATTGCAAATTGCCATCATTTGCTGACGACCAAGTTTGCAAGGCGGAGCGACCGGCTTTTCCAGTGGTGGGTGCGGGGCACAGTCGGCGGAAAACTCGAAGCCACATGCGGACGGCCCGGACCGAGTCCGTCGCAGGAGCTCTGGCGGCCTTGGCTTCGGTGCCGCGGGAGCGGCAGGTGCAGGAGGCGCTCGGGCCCACCGCATCCCGAAAAGTGGAGAAGCAACGCAGTGAAGGGCGCGAGGTCCAGACAGGGAATCTGAATCTCAGATACCCTGCTCTTGTTTGGAATCTGAGAGGGTCTTGCCAGGTGAGCTCCAGCAAGCCAGGGCGACGGTGATCGAGCCGGGAAACCTGGCCTCAGCAATGCTCAACATCGCGTAGAGTCAGATCCGGGAAGGCATCGAAAAGTCAGCGACCTCCTGCGGATGTGGGAAGAGCGGATTCAGAAGCAGGCAGCTTTTCAGATCTTCTAAGCTGTCTGTTTTCGTCGAGTAGTCGAGCACCTGTTTTGTCAGGCTCAGCATTTCGATGCTGATCGCTCAGAGGTTGTAGTGGAGACGGCTCACTTGTGAGAACCCATTTCGGGGCAAGTAGACTCGAGTTAGTTTTGAAAAATGCCAGACCAAAAAGCAAGGGCTCAAGATGCAGATTGCACCCGTCTTGCAGTTCTTCCTTGTAAAGCGGTAGCTTCAAGCCAAGGCCTTTGCAGAGCAAATCTTAAGATTCGACACCGACGTCATTGCGAACGCCGCCAAGGTTAAGGCCGGACGGCTGTCTGATCTTTGCTCCGAATGCTTCCCTCCAGGGCCTGACCAGCCTTTGCCAAAACCAGTCTTTGCACGCTGTCAGAGAAAGATGAAGGCCATCTCGTAATCCCATTGCTCCAGCGTAGGTCCTGCGTGAAGAGCACGCACAGCTGAAAGCCAGACAAGAGCTAGCGGATCGGCCGGGGTCCTGGCCACACCGTGCTGCCTGTTTCAGGCTGTGCTATGTGCTTCCCTGAACCTACAGGTCGATTCAGCAGATTTGGGAGCAGCAGGACACCAGACATCCCGACATCTCTGCCTTATCTGAATCTCAATGCGATTCAGATGGGGTCGCAAGTAATGGACGCGGCGAGCTCGCAAGTTGCCACAACAGGTCGGAAAGACTGCAAGCAATTTCACAGGGGATGGGATCCTTGTGCAGGACTCACTGGGCCGCCTCCTTGCAAGCTTGACCGAGGCATGTCGTGCTTGCAGAACATGCGACAATCCAGAGCTGAAGTGACTCGCTTCCAGGCCCTCCGTACTCAGCCACAGCAGGCAGACGAGGCCCGGAAGCCATAGACTATCATAGATTCATAGAAAGTTGTAAGTAATTTCTGATCATGGTCCCTTATCGTCCTGACCTACTTTTTACAGAGTCCAACGTTATAATATACCCAAGTTTTGTGGAGACAGTTACGCACCTGGCATCTAGGGCGCAGTGCCGAGCGAAGAGCCAGGTGCAGAGGCTTTTTTCTTGCCCGTCGTACGTACCCTGCTGTCTGATGTTGCATCGAAGACTGGGGCTGTGCTATTTAGGTTGTGTTGGAACCCCTTTTGGGTGCAAAGTCTGGTATTCAAGAATTTGGGTTTCAGGATTGAGTGGGGCCTCGCTGGATCGAATCTTTGGGTTCAGACGCTTGTCCCGAGGCAGCGGGCAGTGCAGCCGCTCCGGTCCTTTGCTCGGACGTTGCAAGAGCGGTGTTTCCAATGGAACTCCGCTTTCCGCCGTGAGGTGCGCACCCACCAGCGCTCTCTTGGATTGACCATGCAGCTGGACGAGTTGGAGCGGCAGGCCAAGCAGGGCGGGCTCGCCTCTACTTTCGCATGCGTGTCAGCAGACTCACGTTTGTCCCCTCTGTTCCTTGTTTGATTTTTGGAAGTTTACACAGGAATTGACGCTCGTTAAGTTGAGGCGGCGCGGGAGTAGGCGAGGAGGAGGAGGAGGAGGAGGAGGAGGAGGAGAGCACGGCAAGAGAGTTTGGAGGGGTAAGTGGTTGAAAGCCACAAGAAAGATGCAAAAAGCACCAGATGCCTCTCAGACGGCGGGAACCGGCACGAAACCCTATTCGTATATCTGCAACGAGCCCCTGCTGTGTAATCTTATCATGAGAGTGCAATCAGCGACGTTCCACTCGGCGGGCATCAATAGCGACGCAAAGCTGGAGATTCGTCTGCCTTCGGCTTGCAGGCAGAAGACTTGGCCCGAGAGTGCATGCCTCAGCCTCCAAGCGAAGTCTCTGCGTGAATGTGAAGTCCTGCCCCTGTCTGTTAAGCAACCAAGTCGCAAGGACGGGAAAGGTGCAGTCCAACCTGTACAAGGACTGCGTGTTGCGAGTTGGCAGTCAGCGCTCCACAGGCGGTTGAGTTTCTGCCAGGAGCCGCTCACAACAGTCGTGCGGGCCAGGCACCCATTTGAAGGTCGTGGACCAGAAGTCCCGGTTTGCATCGAGGCTTTACGACCGATGTTCCTTACAGACATAGCTGTGCCAGCATCGGTCGGAAGAAAGGGATCTGAAAGAGATTCAGTGCGGGCTTAGACAGCTGTGATGCAAAGCCCGCACCATTGACAAGCCGTTGATGGCCTCAAATTGTCACACTCTTCTTGCGAGGGTGCTTGCGTTTAAGGTGCTTGATGCCCATGCAAGTGCGCTGGACGCCATCCAAAATCAGGTGCTGCCGGAACATGCTGCCGGCAGACAGACAGAGGGCACTAGCCATGTTTGAGACCAGCAGATTTGGAAAGAAAATCAAGCTGCAAGTAGTTTTCTGACGGTTTGCTTGTTTTTCCTTCGTCTTGTTCCTGGAGGTTGGCTCCGTCACTCAGCGGATCCACGCTATCGAGGGTGCCCTGTGAGAGTGGATTCAGGCTGATGCTCATGCCGCGGAAAAGTCTGCATTGTGTGCGCCTCACGTGTTTCGCCACCACTTCAAATGATTCAGGATGCTAGGCATTCCGGAGTTTTGTCGCAAAGCACAGACGGCTTGAGTGGCTAGAGTCGGCTAGAGTAACAGGAAAGACTGCAGCCCGTTTGAGTGTGTCGACACCTGTGCCCACATCGGGGATTCCTTCGGGTGGTGCACGATGCTAGTGAGCATGTGAGGCTTTATCTCTCCGACATGAGCTGTCGGCCAAAGTCATGGCTAGCGTCGGCACGGTAGCTTGGTACTTCGGCGGAAGCAAATTCGGCTTGTTGTGATTATCTCTTCTGAGCATCTAGCATGTAAAAGACGGCTCTTGCCGCAGCTTCCACGGCTCCAAGCGGCTCTAGGCCCTGTGATTTTCGCGTGACCCATTCACAGCCATGCCTGTCGGCACTTCAAACAAGGCCCAGTTGCGAGTCCTTCAACACCGCTGCAATAGTGTGTAGATCCAGAGCAGAGATTCTGCTATAGGGCATGATTGAACGAACCGCCCAAGTTTTCCCATGCTTTGCATGCTGTTGCTATCGCATGTCTCGTAGGCCCAGAATGATGTGATCCGCAAGAAGGCTGGCGGGTCCAAGAAGGCCCGCTTGGTTGCTTTCCATTTGGCGCTGACAGCACAGAGTCGGCTGTGCTACATCTGATGCGGCTCCCGGTTCTTGGTGCAGGAGCAGACGGACGAGGACCACGGAACAAAGCAGAGCTCGAGCATTTAATGACTGCTACTAGCAGTGTTTTGCTTCCGAACGCGACCCGGAGGACGTCGAGTTCAAGAAGAAGCAGGTGCTGCAGGGCTGATAATCAGGTATTCGTTTTCGGTGGCCCAGAGTTTCAAGTGCCGGGCCTGTGCTAGGGCTGCTAACTGCTGCTACAGAGTACCTGTCCTTTTAAGGCAACTTTAACTGTGAGGTCAGTCCCCAGAGAGCCCAATACCGCTTAAGGAATATAGCTTAAATCATAATATGAAGCCCCATACATACATACATATATATATATATTTCAAGCCATATTCCTTCATCGAGCGGTATTGGGCTCTCTGGGTCTGTGATACGGTTGATGACATAAATCCTGCATTACCCATAATAAGAAATATACCATAATTTTCATAGTTTAGGGTCCTTAAGGTAATGCAGGACTCATATCATCAACCGTAGGACCCTTTCCTTATATATCCCTTTTAGGAGCCCCATCATACAACCCTAAAGTACCCTTAAAAGGAACCCTTATCATCAACAGTATATCAACCTAGACCCTGAACCCTAAGACCCTATGTATAGATCCCGTGAAGGAACCCCTTATAAAGGTACCCCTCAAAACGGTACAAAAATAAGTTTGCCCCCAGGCCGAAGAGAAGAAGGCCATGGCGGCAGCTGCTAAGGCCGCGTTCTGGCAGCTTCTGGGAAGTTTCAGCCTGAGGCACAGTATCCCTGGTATTCTATATAAATATATGCTATATTATATTGTAAAATGTAATCTATATGAATATATAACTAATATAATGTAATATAATATGATATATTATAATGTAGCATAGTATCTCTGGGTTTGGAGGCTCGGCTCAACTGACCGCAGGTCTGCGAGTTGGATTCTCGTTGTATCTTAGTCCTCGTTGGTGAGTTGCGGCAGTTTGCTCATGCAAATGCAGACAGCCATAAAGGCTGTAGCCCTCCCAACGGGTTTTTGTGCAGTGTGTTCACGAATTCTTGAATGTCAGCTTCGAATTGATGCCAGTCGATGGGAAAGAAGAAGTCCCGCTCTCAGCTTCTTAGAGCTACAAGTGAACTTCTCGGCCAGTGGCTTCATCTACTTATCGTTCTTGACGCGAAAGCACTCACTCCGAATAGTTGCAAAGAGAAGATTTTCGGAAGCCAGCTGCTTCAGTGCGTGCAGCTGCGACTCATCACTTTGGCTACTGGTACTTGTAGAGTCATGCTGACAGTGTGGAGGTAGTTGCAAACACTTCGCTGCTTCAAGCCTTGAGTCTTGAGCCGAGGTGAGATGAAACAGGGAGAGCAGTCTTCGAACAGGACAGAATTGCACCACCATGCCAGCTTGGCCGAAGATCTCAGACCTGGAACCCGTGTTTATTTACCATATTGAGCAAATATGTACAGCTGTCCTCGTTTTTGCAGAACTGGCTGAGATTGAATTCAGCAGCTGGCATGACAGCTCTTGAGCAGCACTGCGGATGCCTTTGCCAAGAGAGCTGCCGACAATTGGCCAGCAAGACCGGCACATAGGGGGCCGGCAGGCAACAGACCTTTGAACTGAGTCATGACAGAAGGCTCGTGCCGCGGTCGCAGTTTGCTGTGCTATGCCCACGGATCCGTCTTTTTCGAAGTCTTGTTCGACCGGTCTGGCGAATTTGCAGCGATTTCTGCTTCCACATTCCCGGAATGACGCATCGACTTCAGTTTCTCCCAGCTTTCGGTTGGTGACATTCAGTAACTAGGTGCAGGCACATCATGACGCGATCTGCGATGGGGCTGCGGGCCGTTGTGCTGAGCTGGGTCGCCATGACGCGCCGTAGGCTTGGAAAGGGGCTTGTCGCACGTGCCGAAGATGTCCAAGTGTTGAGCTCTTCCTGTTTGAACGGAGTGCCCTGCTAGCTTTGGTGCGCTCATCGATGCTGATAGAACAGTGGCGTGTGAAGGTGACTGCCTCAGCATCCGGTGACATGTCTCTCATGCAGAGTGTCCTGTGACATGTCTCTCAGGCAGACTGTAGTGTTGGACAGCGAAACATACGCATCCGACAAGGTCTGCGGGAAAATGCTACTCAGCTGGCAGACGTCTTTAAGTCGACGAACTGGGAAAGAGCCGCAAAACAAATGCTGACAGATGGGTATGGCGTGCCGTCGGACAAAGATCGCTTCTTGGCTTACTACCTAGCCCCAGGGCCATTTCAACTCCTGGTCTGATCTGGTGCGGGAAGCTAACAGCTAACATGTTGAGTCTTGAGTGCTCTTCTGCATGCTTCGCTGGCTCGCGGTATTCCATTGCAGGCTTGAGCCCGCAACAGCTCTATCATCGTCGTAGCAGCCAAGAAGACGTCGAGGTCCGCAGCCCACAGCTTTCGTGTCCAGGGAGCCTCGGAACGCTCCGAGTTTCTGGGCTTCGGAAGTGAAGAGACGCTTCAGGCATGGCTGAGTGCTGGGGACGTCTGCAGCGGGCATCGATGCGACAAGGCGCACATGCACGGGGAGGCATTCTGCTTCTGTTATTTATTAATTTATGAACTTACTAGCACCGACACATCGCGGGGATCGCTCGCCAGGAAGCTTGCCCCTGTGGCTGCTTGGCTGCCTTTGATTCCGGGCTAAGTCCGTCTCGCGGTTTGGCTTTCCTGTCTTGTCTTTAGCCCTGCATTGCTCCAAGGTCTTTCTCCTTGTGCAGACCATCAGGGTCTGTCTCTGTGCTTCTTTTTTCTCGGGCTCTGTTTCAGTTCCTGCGTGACTCTATCTCGCTCGCTTATTTTCTCTTTACTTTTTCCCGTTCGCTCGCCGTCTCCTCCCGTTCGCTCGCCGTCTCGGACGCACTGCCTCCCAGTCTGTGCTTGCTCTCTCTTCGCTCACTCTCTCTCTCTCTCTCTCTCTCCTCTCTCTTTCGTGCTCTCTCTCTCTCTCTCTTTCACATTCTTTTTTTTTTTTCTCTCTCTCTCTCTCTCTCTGTCTGTTTCTTTGCATCATACAAATGGAGTGGCACAGGTTGCGAGTGCGGTACCGCCGCAGATCCCGGCCTCTGCTATGTGCCGAAAATTGCACTGTAGCTCTATACGGGCCGAGAGATAAAATCGTGTGCCGTGGATTAAAGGACTCGAGGTACAACAGGCGGAGGCCAATTTGCCTGGTGGCCATGCTGCCAGATTTGCAAGACTGTACCGGGCTTGCTGCTTGGCTCTCAGTCGCATGTCAGATAGAAAGACAAGTATGCTTCACACTTCGACCTTCTGAATGCCGGCACCGTGCAGCCAGGGACTCCTTGAATCCAGCTTCACTCTCCAAGCTTCGCAGCTAGTCACACCCCCTCGAAGCCATCCTTAAAGCACCGCTCGGCCTATGGGCGCCATCGCTGCGTGGCATGGGCCTCTTCGGAGCGCCCACAGATGGTCCGCTGGAGAGTTTCGCAGTTGCAACTACTAGCTGGTCGCAATGGATGCATCTCTAGCCATCAGACACGTAGGACCAAGCATTCCTCACGTGTCGTCCGCCGAGGACCTGCTGCGGTCTGCCACAGAGAACGGCATCAATGTGCAGGTCTCCAGTATCAAGTGCGGAGTGACACCTGTAGTTCTGCAGAAATATTCACTGCAAGGGCTGCGAGCAGCAGCCAGCCGTCGGCACTGCGCAGAACAGCACCGATGGCGCCGAGTCCCTGCCAGAGGAAGAAACCAGCACCGCTTCAGTGGTCAAGAGCACCAGCACAGCAAGGCATTGCATCGCATGCAATGTTTGCAGGAGGTCGAGGACGAGGACCTGCCTCCTCTTGTCTCCCATGAGCTGGAGGATCTCTCTGGGAAGAAGTTCGGACAAGAATTGAAGGTGTAGGAAGCTGGGTCAGTAGAAGCTTGAAAATCAGAGTAGACGAGTGAGGCCATTCCAAGATGGTGCAAGCTTCACAGATATGTACACTTCAACGCAACGTGGTTTCCTGCGGGTGAGGAACGGCTGGGGCTCCTCGTCTCTGGGCCTGCCAGGAGTGTGCGGGACCCGAGGATGATGAGCAGTACACGGAGCCCAGGACGGGTGTGGCTATAGAAGTCGGTCCTGGACCATTTCTTGTGTTCTTGAGCAGTAGGCTTTGCACAATGCCAGTCATCTCAGGTGCCTCAGGGTCGGAGGTGTCGTGAATGTGCGCTGCCATGTGACGGTGTCCATGTGAGGGTGGATCCGAGTTGCGGCGCAGGACGGACGAGGCGGAAGCGACCGAGAACATCGAGGACCAAGACCGAGAGAGGCCCAGCGGTCCCAGGCTCGGGCCCAGCCTCGTCTTGCCGAGGAGATGGAAGAAGAGCCAGAGTTGGTCTTCGACGAGGAGGAGGCCGAGGAGGAGAGCCATGTGGGCTTGCAGCGGATAGGCACAGCGGACTCCAACTGATCTTTTGCGAGGAGCTCTTTGAGCAGGAGGGGCCGAGTCCAGCGGTTTCCCACCCGAAGCCAGAGGCTGTTTGCTCTTGATTTGAGCACGTCAAAGGCTGTGAGTGTCTGTGATGTAAGGGCATTGCGGATGGCCCCTGGTATGCCGGTGGCTTCGAGATGCTAAGCTGCAAGCAGAACCCTCTTCGCGGGGGAAAGAGACCATCCTCGAAATTCTCCTGCGTTTGGCCCAGGTTCTTTGCAGCTTTCGACTCTGGCAACCTTTGTGGAGCTGCCCTGGCACGGCCCTGCGAAAGCCAGGACCACCTGGCCAAGAAGGACGGGCTGGAAACCATGCAAGATCTTAGTTCTAGTCGTCTCCCTCCGTTGGTAGAGAGACAGCGACATGTCGACATGTTTTCTCAATAGCATGCCGGTTGTGTTAGCGTGTGTGACTCGCCGTCCTCGGCATAGGACCTTCGAGCTGCAGACGTGCTTTGGGCTGCAGCGGAGCCTCAGAGAGGAGACTCGGCTTGGGCACTTGGCTCTTGATTTTCTTTAGCAGGCGTCATGTGATTTGTGGCACTGTGGCCAGATTTGCATCTGCATGATCTGACTGACTGCAGAGAAGGCAAGCTGCTGTACAAGATGATTCAAAGCTGCGCCGTGCGGAGGGAGCCCCACCCCAAGGCCAAGCTGGTCACCAAGAAGTCTGCAGGAGCGCGCCTGAGCCTTGCCCTGCATTTAGAGTGGCCACTGTGTCCAATCTGCAATGTGGAGGAGAAGGGATAAGCATTCAGTCCCTAACATGGACGTTTGCGGCAAGGTACGCCAGCCGCAGGGTGACCCTGAGCGGGTGGCAGAAGTTGGCAGATGAGGCCGCAAACTCGCGCATTTTGGACTTGGCAGACTTTGCTTTCATTTCGTAGACTACAGGACGGCTGGGCTCAGCTGGGTCCTGCCACGGCAGAAGCCGAGGGTGCCGAAGTGGAGCTACTGCGCAGGGGGCCTAGGCCGAAAATTTCAGCATTCAGAGTTGAGCCTGTGGCTTTGCCACTTCGAAGTTGCAGCCAAGGCCTAGGACTTCAGAAGGCTCAGAAGATCTCAGAAGTACTGTAGTTTTTGTTGCATCAACGTGTCTGTTCGTGTGTGTGTGTGTGTGTGTTTAAGCAAGGAAGGAAGTAAGTAATAGGTCAGCTAACAGCTAACTAAAGGAGCATGAGTTCACATGTGGCGAAGGAAAACACAAGCGTCCATTCAAGGGCATGCAGGCTGGTCTTCATCTGACTGCGAGAATTGCTGTAGGTGCTTTGTGCAGCTTTGTGCCGCTAGGCAGCGTGCGATGAGTGCTGAGTGCACCGCCTGCTGCCTGCAAAGTGCCAAGGCTTTGCGCCGCAAGGTGTCCAGAAGAGCTGCGATGCCCAAGGCAGCTTTCAGCGACCGCCTCCTTTGAGCCAGCTCCGATGCAGCCCTTGCTCCGGAAGTTCCGGCCGGTCCTGTAGCATCTCGTTCTTGTGAAGGCTCGGGCGACGAGACGATGTCACCAACATCACCGTGCCCCAGCTCGACCTGACAACTGCTTGGGGTCAACATTTAGCATAGAAGACACACAGATCTCACATTCTACTTGAGGGACTCCGTGCATGAAGCATCGGTTGAGGGCCGACCCCGGAAGAGTTCCGAGGCCGCAGCAGGCCAGCGAACCCAGCGCCGGCGCCGCTGACGGAGGAGCCGGAACCGGAGGCGGAGGTGACGGCCCTTATCATCCAACAAAAGAGCACGAGAACTCGGGGTTTGCTCCTGAAAAGGCTATCCCAGTGCCCCGATGCCGACGGCGGCTTCGAGCCTCTGCTTCGAGGTCACGGCTTCTTGGTCCGAGAGTCTACGAAGAAGCTTCAACGCGCGCGAGAGTGGAAGACTCAGTTTGAAAGAGAAGGACGGGTGCAGGTGCAGCCACAGACTTCTCCAGAGTCATCGTTCCTGTCATCCGGTTATGGGTCAAAGCTTCGTGCGAGTGAGGGAATGGTGCTCCGAATCAGAGAAGGGCCCTCAGGTATCCGGCATTATCTGTCCGCGCACAAAGGCGTCGGTCGTAGAGTGCTACGACAGCGTCGAAAAACGAAAGCGAGAACACAAGACACCATCTTGTCGGCCGACGGCATGTTTGTGGAGCAGAAGGGCTTTTTCCAGCTAGCGCGTTGGAGATCCTCGGTACTATCTGCGGTTTGCTTGCTCAGATCCACCACTCCGGTAAGGGTTTCGGTCCCGCGTCGAGCTCTTCTTGTCAATAGGGTTGTGCACCTAACAGTTCCTTTTGCTCGTGGGCTTCCTCTGTCAGCACTCTTTTGGGTTTCGTGTCTGCCCGCCCTGCACTGCACTCCGTCGTCGCGCTCATTTGCTGCTGCTCTGAGAGTTTCGAGGTTGCCCGTCGAGCAGAAAGTTGTTCACAACAATCCTTTTTGGGTGCAGCGCCTTGCTCTCTCTCAACGTCTGAAGGTTCGGTTAGGTGCAGGGCTCGCTCACCCAACCCTCCGTCGCAAGCACCGCAAGCCAGAGAGCAGCAAAGGCTCGCGCAGACTGCGCCGGCACGCCCTTTGCCAGCGAGGCAAAGACTGCAAGAAACAGACCGCGGGAACCGTGGGAACCGTGGGACGCGCAACCTGCCGTTTTTATTGAGTGCTGTGGAGGAATGCCAATGGTTCCACTTCGGCCTACGGGGCCGTGAGCTGGGCCCTGGCGAGCCTCAGCTTTGACATTTTCTCTGCGGGGGGGGGGGGGGGGAGCATGAGCGAAGGCTTCGAAGCGTGATGGCCTCTGTGACCTCTGCAGGAACGCCTCTCCTTTCGCGTTCGGGGCCTCAGCCGCTACAGGCGGCTGGAGACGACCCGCATGGTAAGTGGGCATCGCGGCGGCAAGCTCCCCCTTACATGCGAATCCAAACAGACAATTTCAGATTCTGTTCTTGCCGGGGCTGGGAGTTCTGAGGCAGTTGCTGACTGATGGGCTCCAGCCTGTGTTTCGGTCCAGTGCTGATACTGGCTGGCAGCTGGTGAGGGGCGAAATCGGGATGCTGCGGCTGCCTGCGTCTCTGCTGCAATGCTGAGGCTGTGCTTCAGTCTCGACTTTGGGCCTCGAGGCATCTGAAGCCCCGAATGCGATGCAGCCAAGGACGGCATGCTGGCCTTCACCTTCGCATCTTGGCTGGCAGGTGGAAGAAGGTCGATAGGTGGGCGGCAATGCCTTCGTTTTCGCGGCGCATGCAAATCCAACCTGCCCTTTGCCTGGCATGGCGGCAAAGTGGGCTCCTGACCCTTCACAGTAGCAAGCACGTGCTAGGAGTGGTGGCAATGGAAGTGAGCCACCCTGTTAGCTGTTGCCAGCCAGGGTTAGCTTTGAAGCGATGCGATGCCTGTGTTCTCGTTGCTTGTCGGAGGTCATTCCCACCATCTGCAACTCATTAGATGGTTTGATGACTTGTTGATCACCCGTCTTAGTTTCAGTCTGCATGCTTTCATTCGAACAATTGTAGGAAGCTATCTCTACCTACGACAACTCCACTCAAGATCAGCATACTCTCTGAATGAGTCTTTGAAACGCCTGGGCCTGAATAAAGCCAGTGTTTGGGCCCTTGCCTTTGAGGAGCACACGACGTCAAAGCCCCTGGCAGCGGATGAGGAGCTCTATTTTGCTCTGACCTTCCCGTACCCACTCGGCCAGTGGCTCAGAGCTGGCAGTCTTCTTCTTGCGTTGCTCGCTTTGCATGAGCCTTCTGCAACAGAGGCCGAATCTACTCGCATCTTGACGGTGCCTTGAAGTCCTTGGTGCGCGGTGGAGCATATGTCAACCGCGAGCAGCTGACGACGTCGTTGGGAGGTCGGCAGCAAGGGGAAGTGAAGTGGCGAGAGGTTTTCAGCATGAAGCCGGGCCAAATGGGCAGTTGCGCTCGCAGGTCATCCCATTGAGCTGGTCACCGTGACACGTCGTTCGCAGCGCTCTGCAAAACGCCAGCCGCCGTTGCCGGACTTGGCGCAGGAGGCAAACTGGCACAAAGAGAATTAGAGATGTTCTGCGATGACTGTGACAGCCTCTGAGACCCATCGGCCTACAAGGTACTGGTAGTTGGTGTGTGACGTTGCACCTGGCAGTGGTCCTGCCAACCTGCAGTGGGTTGGAGAATTTAACTTCGTGTATCGGCTCATCATCGCTCTGCTGATGTCTGATATCCTTGCCAGCCGAATCTGCACCTCAGTCAAACAGCCCTGAACTCCCAAGATAGACGGGGGCGCCAGGATCTTCACACCGGAAGTGTTTCGAACCGATAGGAAGCCCAGCGGCCTTGGATCTTTCCAGAGCGCCGTGCCATCTTCGTCAGCGCAAGGGTACACCCGGGAGAGACGCCGGCGAGCTTCATGCTGGAAGGCTCTTGGCTCGGTAGTGCTTGCTTTAGGCTCCGGAGAGGTGTAAATTACTGCCAGTGTGGGTCGGAAAGGAAGTCAGAGGGCCGCGATGCCGTGCGTGGCAGCGAAACACGCACGATTCGAGGGCGATTCGAGCGGAACGGCGGATCGAAGAACAGGCGACAAGGGTTCAGGGTTCGAGGCTTCGGGCTTTCAGGCGCCAGAGTTTTAGGGTTAAGCGGTTAAGCGTGAAACATGCGTTTCTTCCTATTCATCCCTATGTGTTTCCCCCATGTATTTATTGGAAGTTTTCCTATTCCTCATCTGCTATGAATCCGTAAATCCAGTTTCTTTTCCCATTTTCTCGTATTTTAAGATTGTACGGCTTCCCTAGCATTAACACAGCTGAGAGCGACATAAGGTTAAGGAGTCACGGGGTTTGGGTTCTAGAAACTTACGGCGTTGAAGCATTACGCTTTTCAAGGCTCAGGGTGCTTACTATTTGTCGAGGCATCCGGGTGCCAATCTCCCGCGTCAGCGCACGAGACCGTCACGCGGAATCCAGCGATATCCCGGTGCGCGAAACCGCGGCACTGCACCGTGCACGAATCGGGTTCTTCCAGTGTGCGAATCGACCTCCTACCTTGCTTCAACTTTCGGAGCGTCAACGAGGGCGCGGCGGGGAACTGATGGCGATCATTGGCACCGGCAAAGTTCGGCACGACAACGGCTGTCTTTGTGACTTTCCCATGATTCTGTCACCATGATTTCCTAGCACTTACGACATCAGGGCCCCATGCTTCGCCAACTTGCAAAGGATAGTCCGGACCGTTCCAAAGGTTCCGAAGCACCGAGGTTTGAACCGATGGACTTCGTCACGAATTGCACGTGTCAGCTCTGCGTCAAACAGCCATCAAGGACGCTAGCGATTTCAGACTCGCGATTCAACAGCCCGTGTCGATGCGTGCACCCGCGATTCAAGCATGTGAGATTCGAGCACTCGCAGTCCAGGCACTAGAAGGTAGGAGGTAGGATGGGGTTCAGGTTTCAGGGTTGTGGGTTTCGATGTCGAAGGTCTCGCGTTCAGGACTGGGGCGTGGGATTTGCATGGTTTTGGGGTTTCAGGGGGGACCAGTCTTCAGGTTTAGGGTTTAGGGTTTAGGGCTTTAAACTTTGGGACTCCGGGTCGGTTTAGGGCTTAAGGCTTCAGGGTTTGGGGGTTCCATGCTGTAGGCTTGGGGTTTTAGTGTTTGCGGTGTAAAGTTTTAGGTTAGATGGCCGAGATTTTGGGGCTTTCGGGTTTAGGGTTTGGAGCAGGGTCGCTGCGTTTAAGTTCAGGATGGGCTACTGTACGAATCCAGGTTTCTCGATCCGGGGCTTTCAGTGAGCAAATCTCCGAAACGAATCCTGCGTGCACGAATCCGCTCCCCAGGCACTGCGCGAGTTTAGTTTTCGCGAACCTGGGAATGCTTGTGCATGAATCGTTGCTCCGGTGCGCCTATCGGCTATCTTATCGTCAGCTTCGAGAGCCACGAGTATTTCTCTGCAATGCCTCTTCCCCACCGCTGTTGGCTCTGCGTTTAGCATCGCTGTCGACCAGGCTGATGTGCAATCCATGTCAATGTGACTTTTTCAAAACGTGGACTGAATGAATATCTTGGATTGACGCAGGGACTGACTGTTTCGTCCGCTCAGGGTCTGGCAGCAGACGCTTTAAGCCAGAAGCTTTAGATTTCAGGTTTGCAAATACCCAGGCACTTTTTGTGATGGAGTATTAGTTTTCCGTAATTAACGGGAACGCGGTTGGCCGGTGGTTCCCGCAACAGCGTGCCTGGGTTACAGGGTTCAGGGTTTGGGTTAAGGGCTTTAGGGGTTTAGGCTGTAGAGGTTTAGGGTTGAATTATCGGGTTTACGGTTTAGAGGCTTAGGAACTTCACCTGAGTGACACAGGAATACGCACACATGAACAGCTGCAATCATTTCAGTCTTTCACGCATGACTTGGAACCTATGCAACTACTGCAAATGCAAACGCTGTTACGGCTGTCAGCTACCTGTCTCTCAGCTTAAGATTGGTTGTGTGTATCTGCTGAGTACACATGTATCGGCACACGCATGGGTGTGTGTGTGTGTGGGTGTCCTTATTCCTATCTACTTCACGCCTGCCCGTTTGGGATCGTTTTTCGGCCCCCTACCTTGCGAGCATAAATGTCTTCACCCGCGCCTTGCTGGTTCAGCAGGCACTTCTTGTTCCGGTGGCCGTTCGTGCGACGCTGGTCGCCTTGTTGCTGTTACAATGGCTTCATGTTTCCGTAACAGTGTGCCAGATCGATTTCCGTTACTCCCCAGATCGGTTGCCGCTACTCCCCGCACCCTTTTGTGATTGTGTGCTCTTGATTTGTCTCTGTGACCCAACATCGGCACGAAAGGAACTCTCGTTCGAGTGTGGCGTTGGCTGAAGGCCTCTTGGACTTCCTCGCCTCTGGCAGCTCAGAGGCCACGGAGTTGCTCCGGCAGTACGTGGTGCACGTGATACCCGTGCTGAACCCCGACGGTGCCTGGGATTAGGGTCAGAACTTCGAGGGCTCTCTCTCATTTCGGAAACGGACCCGGCCGCAGCCTTCATGAGTTTGTGTGATACTGGGTTCTCTCCTTTGAAGGTTATCTTGGAGGCTTTGGCTGGTTGAGCCAAGCCATGCTAAAGCTGAGTTTCATGCAAGCCTCGTCTTGTCACACGTACACAGGCTCGGTAAAGTGCGCAGAAGTGACCGCAACAAGCTCAGAAAAGAATCCTGGAGCGATAGATTTAGATGGTGAAGCGCAATCTTGGCTTTGTGTTTGGGACTTCGGTGCAGCGATTATCCTTTCATGTTGTTCCTTGCACGCTCCATTCGGTTTTGCATGTTCGAAGCTGGGCCCGCACTTGTTGGCGTCATAGGTTCCTGTCTTGCAGTAAGCGTAGCTTTCTTGGATGCACGCTATTGGACCGTGCTGCAGAAACGTTTCGGACAAGTGTCCTAACATTCTAACATCGAAGTCTTCGGCCGCATTGCCGAGGTGTGGCCTTTGGCCACCACCGCCTGGACATGCGCGCAGAGAACCTCAATCGGGTGTACGGCAAGGCCTCTTATCGGCGTTCCATGTAGCCGAATAATTGATCAACTTGCTCCTCTGCCACACGTTCATGACGAAGACGACGCACTTGTGTGTCTTGGCTGGTGGAAGCGCTGACGCGCCAGGCAAGTCTCGAGCATCACCCCTCGATCGTCGCAGCAGAGAAAGCCTGCCTCTGCGCCCACGAGCACCAGGTCGGTAGCTTTGTGGCTTCGGGCATCCGGCCGGAACAAAGAGCTGAGGGCTTTGTTGCTACAAGATGATACACGTAGGGGTACCGTGGCGACCATGCCTGAACTCCAGGGGGGCCTGCGGCTGTACCTGGACCTCCACGCCCACAGCAACCGCCGTGGGGCCTTCCTTCTGGCCGATGCTGGCCGTGACGCGGAAGCCCGGCTCTTTGGCTGGGCCTTGGGAAGGCCGGGGCGCGGAACGATTCAGCGAAGGCTCAGGGCTCCGTCTCTTCGGACTCGGGCTCTGGACTTTCTTCAGCGAGGCCCTGAAAACCTAAGACAGGTACTGCAACATCTTCGAGTACTCGCAGAGTGACTTCAGCGAGTCCAAGCGAGGAACTGGAAAGTCCACGATTGCAAAGCTGAGCCTCGGTTGTGTCTGGCCTCAGGTCTCCTGCCAGCCTAGGGCCTAGCTTGCAGTCTTTCTCACTTTTGATGCTCGGGAAACCATGACTGTCAGTATTTCGGTCACGACCCGAGAGTTGAGTTTATCTTGGTTGCACCATCGGAGCAGCCCAGGACCGGAAATCCCCTCTGCTACACCGTAGAATGCCACTACATTCGAGGCCCTGCTCGCACCGGGTGTCTAGTAGAGTCTGGAGGATGGGGCTCACGGTTCATGTGCTTCTTGGGCCTTCCGTGTCCAAACCTCTAAGTGCTTAGCTTCAGCCACACAAACTCCACAACCCCACAGCACCTCATACTAGGGTTTGACCCCAAACCCTTAACCTTCTGTTGATGGACAAAATCCTGCATTACTCGTTATGAGGAATATGCCAAAATTCCCGTAGTTCAGAGTCCTAAGGGTCATGCAGGATTTTGTCCATCAACAGTTACACCCTAAACCCTAAACCCTAAAGCACTACTTCTTAACAGGTCGCTCAAGCCGAGGCCCCTCACAGCTTTTTTAACAGCTGTCTGGCAGGTGCCAAGCTTTCGTCCCCTAGGGGACTCGTCAGGGCTTGACAGCCGTAAATGCTGCGAAGATTTGTGCACACATCCGTCAAACTAATGAGCAGGACGCGCGCACATCAGATGACGCTGACAGGGTAAAAAAATTACAGTCCCTCCCTCAACCACGCCTTTGACTGAAAAACTTCCAGGTTTCCTGGTATCTACGTCTGAAAAGGTTCCGACCAACAGTCCAACAAGTGCCAACCTGTACATCTGGAACACTATGCCTCAGCAAGGCTGAGAATTTTCTCAGTTTGCTCGCAATCCAAAATGCTGAGACATCTCTGTTGTAATGCACTTTGAGATGGACTTTCCTGACAACATTGTCACGTTTCCGTGAACGGTTCCGAAACTTTGTGATGGTGTCATTGAACTTCTTCATGTCAAAGCCTCGATCCTTCAAGCGACGCTTGAAAAACTTTAGGCTTGCCGCAGCATCGGAACTCAACCGATTCCTTTTTTGACATCGTAGAGCTCCACCAATCTGCAAACTCTTGAAAGTACTGCTGGGATGGTTGCTCTGCGCAGGAACATAAAGGTAAAGATTCTGCTCCTTGTGGTACAACTCCCAATGGATCCTTCTGTCAGGCATGATGCTGAGTGCGACATCCAAGAAATGAACATCACCAACGCCTGAGAGCTCAAAGCTCAGAGACTCATGCCAGGAATTTGCCAATGAAACCAGTTCGCTCACATCTCCAGACCAAAGCAGAAGCAGATCATCAATGAAACGTCGTATCATTTGCATTTGCTCCCCGCCCTGCTGCACTAAAAACTTGTCGAGATGCCACAAATAGATGTTTGCAAGGATGCTGGCAACCGATAAACCCGTCGGAATCCCATCATTGGACTGGTAGAAACATCCTCCGAACGATACAACACATGCATCAAGGACGAGCTCCAGCGCTCGAATCATGAACTCGCATAAGCTCTGTGGCTTAATGCGCTGTCTCAGGAACCTTGCAACCAATGACAACATGTGTAGGCGGTTGATTGAAGGATAAAGGTTCACCACATCCAACGTCACTAACACCATACTTGGAAGGCACTCCGTCGAATTCAGCTGCTGCAGAAGTTGGTCTGTAGAAACAATAACCGTATCCAGAGGCGAAACTAAAGGCGCCAACTTTTCAACCAAGAAAGCAGACAACGGCTGAAACCAGCACTGACGCATGTTGCAAATAGGTCTGGAACCAATCGGGTCTTTGTGTACTTTGACTAGGATGCGAAATGTCCCAGCAGTTGCCCGATCAAAACTGCTGCGGAGGAAGAGCACCTCAGCTTTCGAAAGAACTCCTGAGGTAGCGAAATGTTGCACCAGAGCATCGGCGCAATGCTTGAGCTCGCCCATCCGACATAGAAAATTAGCCTCTGTGATCTGTACATAGCCTTTGGAAAGTTGCTTGTTGATCTGCTCGACAATCCAAGACCTCAAAACTAAGGCATCACCTAGCCCTTTGTCACAATCCACAATACAAATGAATTCCGCGTGGCGTCGCAGCCAAATCTGTGCTTTCATGTCAATCCACGTTTGGTTTGATTTGGAAGGCTTGGGTTCAAACTGAACCAACTCCCCCAAGGCCAGTCTGATATAGGCATCAACGTGAGGATCACTTGGCGGTTGCCAGGCACTCTTCACGCGACATCTGGAAACTGCTTTTGCATCGGATCGAAAATACTTTCTCAGCAGAAGCTGCCTCCTCAATTGGTCCAAACCTTCCACAATCTTTGACACAGAAGTTGGCTTGCAACTGGGGATGAACTTGCCACCCTTGGCTACATGCAAAAGGACAAACTTCGGAACGGTGCAAATCTCCGCAGGGACCAGGTTGTGAACACCCTTATAGGCTTGCCTGTGAAGCAATGCATAGAATCCTGTACGCAGCGATTGAGCGACACAGAATCTGTAGAAATCAATGCTGCACCTGTCATCGTCAAGCCAAAAGGAACGGCCCCTGCTTCTACGAGTTATTTTCCTCTTGATTTGCTTTTGCCATTGCCTTTGCCCTTCCCTTTGCTCGCGCTCTTGCCTTTCCCTTTCCCTTTTCCAGGCTGCCCTTTCTGTTCAAATCTGACCCTCTTGCTCGATGTACTCCGGTTGCGACTTGGCGATCTCGGAGACCTAGCAGGTGATTTCAGAATGGAACGCGGTGTACTTGGCGCTGGGGATGGCGATCTCGGCTTCCTTGCACGCCCTTTCGGAGTGGACTCCCGCTTGTGTGGTGTCCCCTGGGAATGGCTAGAGCTCGACGCCGGAACGATCTTCAACTTGTGTTTCTGGCAAAGCTCGGCATTGTCCTTTACAAGAAACGCTAAGGCACTGTCATCCTTGATTTTGGTAGGCCTTTTCTGCCTTGCATCCAGTTGCTTGAGCTCAAACAACGCTGGAGACAAGACATCCTTCACATCCATTTCTTCCCATTTGCTTCTAGCTTCTAAAAGAGCTTGCTCGCGCTTTTGTTGCTGCTCTCTGTCTTTGACCATTCTTGATTGCACTCTTGGCCTTTCCACGCGCAGCAAACTCTCAACATACTGTGCCGCACGATGCTTCAAAGCATGACGGATATCCTCATCAGCGTAATTGTGTTGGGCAAACCACGCATCCAGCCTGTCTGCAAGCAGTTGTTGCAGAGCTGAGCTTGCAACTAAGTCATCATATAGTTTGACGCATTGCTCTTGATGTTGCATGACGAACTGGAAGCACTCTTTTGCGTGTCTAGCCCTCATGGCTGCCCAAGAATCAACCACTGAAAACTGTCCATCACTCATATCATCAGCTGCAGTCGGCACAGCCTTGGCCAAATACAATTTGGTGAACTGCCATTTGAAATCAGCTTCTGCTTTGAAGTGTGAGTGCATAGCACCTTCTTCATCTAGCCTTTTGTACTTCTCCATCAACTTGGTTTGCGTCTCCCAAGCACTGAGAAGCTGCTTGACTTCTTTGGCAAACTCATCAAACACATGATGCAAGCCAGGATCGATTCCTTCCAGCAAATCCCTAGGTTCGTGGAACATCTTTGCTTGCAAGGCTTCATTGGTGGCGATAGCCTCTGCACGGGATTGCGATGACTTCACCTGCACTTGCAACTCTTTCAATTGGCTCATGAGCAGTTGATTCTGCTGAAACAACAGCAATTCTACCCCACTCATTTCAGCACTTGGACTTGGAGCACGTGGCCGCCCAGCTGCTGTAAAACCCGGCAAACGAGAAGGAGCTGGAGTTCTGGGTGAACCCCTGTCGTTGTGAGTGAAGGCTGGAAACCCAGAATTTGCAGGCTCACCACCAACAAGTGCACCCAAAGCACTTGCAGGCGTAGCCCCTAATCCAGGAATCTCCATGGCGAACGCCTAAAGTCTGCAAAGCACTACTTCTTAACAGGTCGCTCAAGCCGAGGCCCCTCACAGCTTTTTTAACAGCTGTCTGGCAGGTGCCAAGCTTTCGTCCCCTAGGGGACTCGTCAGGGCTTGACAGCCGTAAATGCTGCGAAGATTTGTGCACACATCCGTCAAACTAATGAGCAGGACGCGCGCACATCAGATGACGCTGACAGGGTAAAAAATTTTTTACCCTTTCATACTAGGGTTTGACCCCAAACCCTTAACCTTCTGTTGATGGACAAAATCCTGCATTACTCGTTATGAGGAATATGCCAAAATTCCCGTAGTTCAGAGTCCTAAGGGTCATGCAGGATTTTGTCCATCAACAGTTACACCCTAAACCCTAAACCCTAAACCCTAAAGCCTCATTTTGGATGGGAGAGGCCACCACAGCGCCGAGCCCTTCGGGCCCCAAGCCTGGTATCGCTTGGGGTGGTCGCTCTGCCGCGCGCTTCTGGCCTTGGACTTCGTACGGCGCCCGAGGCGGGGGGCCCTGCAGGTGAAAATAGGAAGAATACAATATGTGTATATATATATATATGGTTATATACAATATAGAATAGAAGATGTGTAATATGTAAATTTAGTGCACAATGCATGACATAAGATAAACAGTACTTGTATATAGGTATGTAGTACATACTACACTCCACAGATTCCTCATGTGTGCTGTGCAGCTGTGGATGAAGGCTGACCATATCATGCAAGCTAGAAGGAAGGAAGGTGACTATCAACACGGCAGGACTTTCCTGTCGTTCCTAAGGGGTGACGGTGACGGTGTTCTTGTCTACTGCGGCGCCGAGGCGGAGCCTCTGTCCGCCTGGTGCAGATCCGATGGTGCGTTACCGGGAGGCTTGGCGGGTCTGCTTATGTGGCACAAGGTTTATTTGCGCCATGAAGGTAAGATGGTGAAGGTAAAGTTGTGGGATCGGTTGGAGTTGGAGTGTATTCCATCCCGATTCAAGCCCGACGTGGGGCTGAAGCTTTACAAACACTTGACCAAGATCACGATGGCAGCTCGGCGGCTTCTCCTCGGAGAGAAAGCGGCCAGAGGAGGCACGAGAAGCTTCTGGATGCACTTGCGAGTCTCTTGTGCATTGCTGAAACAGACTCGGCAAGTTGGAGCTGAACTCATGCTTGACGACAACCTTCCTGCAAGACGCACCTCGAAGATCGGGTCGCCTAGCTAGGAACGGGTTGAGGTATCCTACTTGCATGCAGCGCATTCGCCTTCTGCATGTCGGCTGCAGCAGCGATGCTTGTGCCAAGTAGAAAAAATCTACTTTCAGGGTCCGCGTAACTGTGCAAAAACTTGGCGGGAGGCTTCGGCGGAGCCTAGTTGTCGGAAGTGTGTTGAAGCATGGTCCCCGCATGAAGGCTTGGGAGGAGCAAGCCGCGGCAGCCATCAGCCGTTCATGAAATATGGGGCTACTGCATCATACGAGGCACGAAGCCGAACACATAGCATCATATACCCTTGCGCTGCAGCTTTGCCCCAGCCATGGAGCGTTGGCAGGGTCTACTTTGCGCGCTGTGTGCTGCTGTTGCTTTCGGTGTGCAATATGCGCCAGTCGCTTGAACTTGCATAGCACGGCTTTCACTGTTGCTACCTTTTGTTTTAGAGTGCTTCGCAGACGGACAGGATTGCACATCACAAAGCACCAAGAATCGAGACAGCTGTCTGTTCGTGGCTCAGGTCAAGAAGTACGAGATTTACGATGGTATCACGTTTCAGTGGTTCATGTGTGCTGGAATTCTGATGGTCGGCTTTGTGTCGTCCATCATCTTCGGTGACTTCGGGATGAAGGACCGCCTGCTGATAATCTCAGTGGCCACTTATTCGGGTTTCCGAGCAGGACAACGAGTGCCTCTTGATCATCGCCGGTGGTGCGCTGTGGGTGTGGCACTGAGCTCTTGCGACTTCCACAACCTTGCGTAGCAATATCCGATGACTAGTTCTGGGGCTCGGAGTCGATCGTTTTGCGACACGCCGGCCTTTGCACAACCACATCGAAACCGCCGTATTCGTCATGGCCGCATGGCCGTCGTCATCACCACCGTCCTCGTCGACCGTCTCCCTGGTCATCATGTCATGATCGTCGTCATCATCATGGTCATCACCATCATCACCATCAACAAACATCTACAACTGCCATTGTCTTCATTGCAGCATCATCATGGTCATCCTCGTCTAGAGGCTTATGGTCACCTCCAAAACCACCACCATCATCATCATTCAGGGATGGCCAGGCCTACAGTTTCCAGAAGAAAACGGGCTTTGCAAAACGATTCTCAATGCTTGCGAACATAACTGCACACAGATCTCACATGGAGCAGGCCAGCATTCTGTTGCTTGTTTCTAAGTTCGGGGTTCCCGAATCTGGCGCGGAATTGGACATTCAACAGGTAGAGGGCCGGGAAAAGTAGGACTGGCAAAGCATGACCTGAAAACAGTGAGCACTGGCACTTCTTGAACTGGAGTGGCACATCCTAGTTTCTGAAAGCTGCACAGAGCCATGAATGCTGTGAATCCAGTCACACGCATGCTTGAAGACCGTGGGTCTCAAGTGATCAGCAAAGGCCTTGTCAAACTACCTGGTGCTCCCACTAGTGAAACTTCTCGGGATCGGCCTTGGCTTCTCGCTGTACCACTTCGTTGCCTTGCTTGACTTCAGCAGCTTTGTTGGTTCTTCTCTCCTCAACGACCCTGATGCTAGCAGCTGCCCCATTCAGCATCCATGCTGTCAGCAGATTGTCTCAGAGGTGAACTTGATGGTGGGCTACATTGTTGGCCGCTTGGGCCTCTTTGGCATGGCTCCACTCGAAGGTTCTCTGCACGTCTGCGCGGCTCAGCGGTGAGATGTGATTTTTTGCCAGTTGTAAGGCTGTGAAGCTGATAAGGTGAAGGGGTGTGAAGTCACGGCTTTTCTCAGGACGCAGGTTGCGCTCTTATCCTAGCATCGTTCGTCATCATGGTGTTCGTTGAAGGCGCGCATGCAGTTGCCAAATTGCAGTGCAAGCTGCTGAAGCTGCGGGTGCCCCTGCGAATGTACTCAATATGCGAACATTCCACACAAACATAGCAGTGAGAATTTGCCCACGGCTGCCACAGAGTCCGAACGCCTTCCTGATAAAGTCGTGCATAGTCGTGCTGAGTGAATATCCGAAGTCGAGACGTTGCTGTGTTTGCATGCACATCGTGAAGGCGAGCAGGGCAACGAATCTCAACCCAGCACGCCAATCGAGCTGCCACCGCCTTTGTTTCAGATCGACCCGAACTACCGCGAGCCTCGGACAAGATATGGCCACATCCCACCAACTGCTGTAGCTACAGCTCCTTGCATTTGATCTTCGAGCTGTCGGCTGCTGCGGTAGCATGTGGGTCCGAGGAGATGTACCATCGGTGGCGACAAGGCAGTTCATCCTTTGGAAAGGATTGGGGACCTTTTTGTTTTGACAGCCACCTGTGCCTGTGGAGGCGAATCGAGAGGCTCCAAAGATGCGCCACCAGCCTGATTTTGTTGGCGCGGTGGTAGAATTCGCTGATTGCGTAAATCTGCAGACCGTTGACACACCGGTTTTGGCATAACGACAAGGTTCGCTACATCAATGAATGTGCCCTTCCCGTCAATTTCACTGTGTGTTTTCAGCAGTCGTCCACACAAAAAGGCCCGTGTTGAATGCCCTGCGCTCCACCATGTTCGGGTACTCCGCCATGGAGTCTGGTGGTATCTTTGGCAAGAAATTTTCGTTTAGCAGATCCGACATATGCACAAATTAAATAAATAAATAAATAAATATATATATATATATATGTATATATATATATACATATGCACAAATTAAATAAACAAATGAATATAAATAAATATAAATATAAATATATATATATATATATATATATATATATATATACATATATGTGAGCATGTATGGCGTAACCATATATATATATATATATATATATATATATATATATATGTATATATATTGTTCTACATGTACAACCTATAGGCGTAGTGCACGTTGTATATTGTACAAACACACATAATGTGCATAATATCAGACCTCGATCCCTGAGCTGTTCTGTCGTTCAGGCAACCTGAAGGCAGTGGGAGGCTTCGCACTGGGTCCGGTACCTCCGAAGCCGCGAGCGGAGGGAACTGCACATGCCGCCGCTTTCCTGGACGCCAGGCCGCGACTTGGGAGAATATTATATGTGTATGTATATATATATATATATATATCATATAGTGTATTATATCATTTTGTGTTATATTACATTCTACTACATGTTAACATATACTGTATTTTATTGTAGTATTATAGTGCTAAGAGTCGGGAGCTGGGGGATCATCGCGGCCAACCCCAACCCTAAACTCCCTAAACCCCTAGCCATTGGTTCATGGCGAGTGGAACATGTGGAACTCTCACACGTGATTTCTTTCTATGCGCCATGGGCTTGATGGTACCGTGGTACATTTGCCTTCTCACAGTGCGTTGCCTCAAGACGGCAGATGAATCTTGAGCTGTCTAGCGAGTGGTCATGCTCGCAGTCTTCCCTAAGCATATGACGGGACATGAAAGCAAACGATTCTAGTCACAGTAACGCTTGTCGTGACCTCTGCAGTAACTTTGTGGTAACCTTAAAGCATCAAGGCCCTACTTGGTTGCGTCGGCCTGTAGAAGCTTTCCACAGGCACGAGGCCCCCATGCCGCGGAATTCTAGCGAGCCAACCATGGTCCGGATCTGAGATGAGGATTTAGGGTTTAGATTTGAGCTGAGCCGATTGAGAGCATTGCCGAATTTCCTAAGCTGGAGTTTGGGGACACGGATAGATGCAGATGGTGGTGGCTTGTGATGCCGAGGCAGCCTCAAGCAGCAGCACCGACGCCATCCCCGCAGAGGCGATGCAACGAGGCAGAACCCGGGCAGAGACACCGCGATTTCCAGCGTCGGCTCTTGTGAGCTTCACACGGGGGCAGACGGCCTTCGTAAGTTCCTGATAGGCGCCATCACCTCCTCCAGCCCTCGAATGGTCAAACTACTTGGGGTGTCCCTGGCCCTCTTTGCTGGGGGATTGGCTGGAGTGCAGAGCGCTGCTTGGAGTCGTTTTGGATGCCGTCGTGAAAAGTGTTCCGGAGTATTATAGAAGTTCTCTGCAGGGCAGATCTATGCCACGTCCTTTTTCGGCTGCCGTTCTTAAGGCTCATGTGCGCAAAGCAGCTCATTGCACAGCGGCAGGGCTGGCTATGCTCATCTCTTATCTGAGGTGCCGGCAGCAATCTACAATCAAAGCCATCCAGGCGCACGCCCCACTGTGGTTGTCTTTCCACAATGTCTCGGGAGACTCAGCTTTCACGAATTTCGAGAAGCCTGTGTTGAGCCACCATGCCGGCGGCGGAAGCAGCCTGCCGAGGATATACATCTGCTCCAGCTTCATTTACTTGTTCTATGCGGCTGTGGCTCGGGCATCTGGGTGGTCGATCCCACACTCGGCAGCAAGGCGGCAAGGATGTCGTCCGCGCCTTTACATGGCTTGCTCGTCCAAGATCTGAGGCCATCCGACCTCCCTACTTCAGCGGATGCATCTGGGCCATCGGCTTTTCCTTCATGATCGCAGCTGGACGGCAACGACTCACCGCTAAAGGTGAAACTGTCGCTATTGAGATGTTGGAGCCAGCTATTTGGAGCGCAGCCTGAGAAACGTCTACTGCTTCTCCTCCCCTGGCAGCTCTGACCACTACCCTGGATTTTCTGATAGTTGGCGTGGGGGTTGCTGTGTAGCCGGTGGTCTGTGCTGTGTCGTCTAGCCCGATTGTTTCGATTCACCATCTCCATTATACGGGACGCAGTTGCAGATATCGATGCTGATGCAGTTTGAGGTTTCATGATGTTTCATGGGCTTGCTTGTGTATTCAAGTCTTGCATGTCCTTCAAGTCTGACTAGGTTTACAAAACCGTCGTGATACGCTGCGCACCGAAAGACACATCCAGGTCTTGAAGAAGTCAAAGCCTCCCAAACCAAGGTGGGAATCTCAGCCCTGGGTTGCTCGGAGCTAGACACAGAGCTCCTGCTGGGCGGCAGTCGTGATGGTTCAAACAGGGCTGAAGAGTTTTCTCGTCAGATGGTGCTGTAACTTCCCACTAACGAGGATGACGATGACCAGCACGATTATGACGACCATGTTGATGGCAATGGGGATGGCAGTGGTGATACCGCCAGATTCCTATGCCGAGCCGAGTGAAACCTAGCCCAGCTGTATCGATGCTGTCTTCCGCAGAAGCCCAGCCCGGTCCGTGTAGATACGAGTCCACTTTGTCAAGACGCGGAGATCTCAGGCACGCAAGGCACAGAGTGTCACCCGTGTCACACATGCCACATACCATCTGAAAAAGCGGGGTTGGTTGTTGATACAGCAGCCACCACTGTTACAGACCGTTTTCGTCACGCAAGATCATGCATGATGTCAAACCGGCCGGTAGCACCAGCATGGAACGCTCTTGAATTCATCGCCGTTTTTCTTGACCATCGCCTGTTAGTTGAGTAGCCGAGGCTTTTCGATTGGCTATACATTGGACGCTGTGGGGCCTATTGTGGTGGCAAGCATGCTGTCAATCTTCGTGTTCTCTGACATGAGATGAGTCTAGATTGGAAAGCCCGGATTGCCACAGCTGCATTCCTAACAGACTGCGGGCAAGCCGGCAAGCTAGGATGTTGCTTATGCTTGACAGGCCCGGATTGCAGGTGGTTTTCAAAGCCTTACGAGTACGTCCTCGCTCCAGCCTCACGTAGCTCCACCCAGGTTCAAAGAGATCACCAGGCCCAGACAGCTGATTCTGCACCCTGGCCAAATCGGGTTCTCGTGAGACATTTCATGTCGATCCGGAACCGCTCCCTGTCTGTTCAGTTGAATTTAAGAGTTGCGTCCGTCTGCCTTGCAGTTCCCGGAACGAAGGTATTGGTGCTCTTTTGGATTGCAGCTAATGGGTGTGATCCTCATGACCGCCTACGGAAAGCATAGCAGCTGACGTGCTCCAGAGCTTTGCGTCAGCATTGTTGCGTGTCCGTGCTGGCTTTGGGCATCCTCTGTAAGCCTTGTGCAACCTCTTCAAAGAATTCTTCAATGCTGATGCTCTGCCTTTGGGGCAGAATCCTGGAATTAGGTGCAGTTTTCAACAAACTATACCCTCCTTGTACAGCTTGGCAGCTGAGCGCTCCGAAGCTTGCAGCATGCCAGAGGGGTCAGAGACTAGTGGACAAGGAGATCCTCGGACAAAAAGCGAGTCTTCACTAGAAACTGTTGAGCAATCAAGCCGAAGAGTCCACACTTCACCAGCCCGTGACGTCCCACGGTGCAGCCGGTGCAGCTCCGTGGTTTCGGGAAGTCGCATTGATGCGTGGAAATATTCGTCCTTGTTCCAGGTCGCGGCCAGACACCAGGAGGCCAAACGGCAGAAGCTCCATGGTGATGGTACGTCAGATGTGTCTTGCAGACAGCGGTTCTTTTTGGATACAGGCTGATGCGGAAGGGGAGACTGATGCCCTTCTGCCTTCACGTGGCCAAGCATGCTAGAAGTGAAAGTGAAGCAGCACTCTCCACCGAAAGATCCGTAAAATGGATACAGTACAGATGCTTGTGGTAAGGGCTGCTGATCCAGGGCCAAGCCGCTTCGCCCCCGAGTTCGGCAAAATCCTCGGCCCTTCCCCGACGCGGCCGGCACCCCTGGCGCTGCTCAAGAACCCGGCCTTTCGGCTGCAGATTGTTCGGGGACTTCTTGCCGTTGGGGGAGTCGCAGTCATTGTGCCGGCTGGTGTCTCCTGCAATGCCTTCGCGCAGGAGCTGATTGACCAGACGGTCGAAATCATCGAGTCTTTCACGGTCCGCCGTTGGCATGTTTGTCAGCCATCAGCTGCAGAGGAAGCTTGTGTGTCGGGCATGTGCGCACAGTGAGCGTCCCAATGACGCCTTTTGATCGTTGACTCGATTCGTGCTCGGAGGCTCAGGCTTGTTGACGAGCTTCAAGCTCTGGCAGTTGCCATGGCAGAGATTGGATGTACACCTCGCTAGGAGCAGGACAAAGTTGTAAGGACTTATTCGCATGTTGATTCAACTGCTTGGTCCTCCACTGCGGGGTGCAGGCGCAGAACGCGTTCTTTAGTTCCTACTTGCAGCTTCAGCTGCCCAAGCCTTATCCATGGCCGACAGCCTCCCTGGCCACGGGTATCTTCCAGAGTTGGCAGCGGCAGGAAGCAAGTGGGGCTTGCAGCGGCAATGCAGTTCCTGTGTGCAACCACGATTTCGTGAAGCGGGCTCTGAGCTTCGTGTCCAAGAAATCGGTGGAAATCTGCCTTGGTTTGTATTTGCAGCTTGTGGCAGGTGTTCGGTTAGAGACAAACCCAAGCTGAGAGAGCACGGCATGCTGTAAGGCACCACCTGAGATTCCGAATGTTGACATGCTTTTTCGTGTGCAGGCCTGAAGCCGCCGAGAAGAATCCATGCATCGACGGAGTTGGCGCGACCGGGCTATGCGTCCATGTCGAAGGCACAGCACGAATCGGCATAGCACTGGTATCTTTGGGAGGCATTTTCCTCAGTCGATGGTCGCCGGACATTACTGCTGATCTGAGAAGCTGCGGGGGCACTCCATACGATTAGTTGCATATTGCATGGCTGCATTCCTCCACACAGGACGAGTTCGAGGATGATGTCGAGACTTTGCGTGCGAAAGTGCGGGTGCTGCTGCGCCTTCTTAAGACTTCCAGTGCCGTTGTGGCCTACACCGGCGCCTCGACGAAGGTGTTTGAAGCAATTCAACAGACCCTCATGTACCACTATGATATACCATAATATACTACAATGTACTATAATATTGCACTTTGCATCAGTGCAAAGGTGCAGGCATCTCCACGGCAGCAGGGGTTTTGGACTACGCCACTGCCGAAGATTCCGACGTGGCCGTCCGAACACCTGGAACTGTCGGGGCCTGAAACCCCGAAGGTCATGTTAATGAGCATTGTCTCGAGATTTGTGGCAAGCTTGAGGGTTCTGAGTGGGGCATGACTTCGGACAGCCGTTCGTGGCCAAGGTGATCCCGCCTGGGGCAGAGGGCGCCCCGCCGAAGCTGCGATCGCCCTACGAGGCGACTTTTCTGTCCTCCGTTTGGTGGAGTCCTTTCATCGCAAATCGTGTTGATGCTCGTCTTCGCAAGGCGCAGCCGACCATGATGCACCGAGTTCTCGTGGCACTCTGGAGACCCGACAATCCCACAATCTCTTCTTGGTTCATGATATCAAACGCTTCCGGCTTGAGTGCTTGGCTGGAGTGCTTGCGGTAGATGCGGAAGATGTGAGAGCTCGCTTTTTGTTGGCGAAGGAGGCAGGGGCTACTGAGCTGCTGGGTGCAGCAGAACCACGATGGCCTGCCGCAGAAAGCCGGCTTCCCACAGTGGCTCTTAAACGAGATCCATGGCTCCTGGCATCCTGGCGCTTCCTAGGGCCTAACAGGGCTGCGAGGCTTGAGATCAGGGGTCGTGAGCATTCGGGTACTGTCGGAGAGTGGCCTGCGACTGTACGCAAGGAAGCGGGCTGAGACGCGGGCGCATGTCGACCCATCGCTCCTTAGCTGTTCTGCCGGAAGGTATGATCCCAGCAATCCTGTCATCCCGATGACCGGTGAGCTCCGTGGAGACCTCTTCCAAGACTTGTTGCTGGGCGAGACAGTGCACGAGAGCCATCTTCTGTCTGCAGTGTCAGCCTGCAGGCATTGTAGAAGTCGTCCCGCCCTTGCCGTGGTGTCAGGTTGGAGTTGGAGACCAAGGCCGACACAGTCTTGGCTTTCGGTACATCCTTAGCGGGGATGAACGCTGACCGGCTAGCCCAGGGTGCTGCAGAGCGGCATCAGAAGAGTCGAGTGGTCGAACTGGCAAGTTCTTCTCTCTTGATTTTTGTTCTGTGTCGCATCCTCTGTTGTGGCTTTGTGCAGTGTGCCGTGATGTGGGTGTTCATGGTCTGTGTAATGGAAGAAGCATGCAGCTTCACTCAGGTGTGGCTGATGGCTCATCAGGTGCAGGAGGTGGCCTCGCCATCTGCAGCCTGCAGCGAACGCAGTAGCTTGGCTCATGTCTCACTCGAAACTGTTGCAGACCATAGCTGAATTGAGTGTCGGTTTCATCTCCAGGTTCGATCACTTGGCATCCATACGTTTCTGGGCCAAGCTCGACTCTTTGGCGGAGCTTATCGTCCAGGAGTTCGAGCTCAGTGATCTTGCTGCCATTTCCGAAGCATCTGGAGAGACTTCCCGGGCCAAATACCCCGTGGAGGCCTTCGTGGACAATCTGATGCTCCTGGAAGAGCGGACCGTGGATAAAGAGAATGACATCTATCTGGTACCCTACAGCCCTACGACTGGAGCTCGGCTGGAGAATCATGAATCCCTCCGGCCCGAGCAACTCTGTCGGCTTGATCTCTCTGAAGATGCGGAGGTAAAGCTGACTCAAGGCCCATATGCAGGTGATTGTGGAGAGGTCGTGGGGAAACAGCTCGAAGGTCATTGGAAGATACGCTTCCAACATCCTCTGAAGCCCGGAGCCAGGTTAAAGCGGCCCTTCGAGCGAATTCTGGGCACCTGGTGGGTGGCAGCTGCCATCATGGGAAAGGTGCCTCAGATACCGGTGGTCAACGTGCTGTGAAGGTGTGGGTTTCTCGGGCCGTGGACATGAAATCCCTTACTCAACCCAGCACGAGCGGTTGGTCGTCATGGGTATGGGGCAGTGCACACGCCTTGAGGCCAACTAACCGGTAGGGAAGCCGGTGGGCAAAGACGCACCGTGGTGACAGTGACAAAGGAGGACGAGGAGGAGCCTTCACTAGCTGAAAGTTGATCAGACAAGAGTTGGTATGGGCACTGAGAATGGGAAGGCTGGGAAGGTTGGCGAGGCGGATGAAGAGGCTACGACTGGAGCTCCCGCAGCGCGAAAGAGCCCGAGCTAACTCCACCGCCGGCCTTGAGGGCGAAGCCTCAATCGAGGCGTGCGGCGGCTCCCAAAGATCCTCCGAAAGCAAACGCCCACCACAGCAACGCCAACACGGGATTCTACCAAAGCTTGATGGAAATGCCATTCATGGGCAACGAGGCTGTCTCGAAGACACGGCCGCCTTACTAGGCGCATGACCCTGCATAGTGCGGCTGCGAGCTGTGCGTGCAAAGTGGCACAGTGAGAGGAGACCTTTGAGGCCAAAACATGCTTGCAAGCATGAGTGCGCTTGACAACGTGCTGCAGGTAGCAGGTATCCTCGCCGTTGAGTTAGTTATGTCGGGTTGTTCTGACGTGCTCTATGGCTCGTGGGTTGCCATGGACGGCTGCACGCACTAACACGACCAGGACCCAATCGGCTTCGTCCATCCGCTTATCCGCAGGCTGTGAGAAATGGACTCTGCCAACATCGGTGGAATGGTGAAAAAATCCTTGGGATCGCGCCCTGGCATGCTGCAGAGGTCCATGAAGTAGTGGGAAAGCCTTTCTTGCCAGGAAGGCGGGCAGTGGCTGCGGCTCCACGAATCTTCAGGCTCCTCCCTTCCTGTCGTTTTATAACGTCGCAGTCAGACGATCTTTCAAGTGCTGGAGGCGGCCTGGTCCTGCCGGAGGAGGCCGTGAGGCTGAGACGAGGGATACCCCCCCCAAATCATTATAGTAATTCCTAACATAGAAACCCTACATTCTACCGTATGCCATATATGTACTTCGAGGAGGCTCGAGACGAGGGTCTCCGCGTTTTTTGAGAGACCTCAGCACGAAAGCCGTCTCTGCGAGGCCTTGCATGGATCAAGAGGGCCTTGACCTCAGCTGGGCGGGCGGGCGGGTGCAAGAACTGCTCGCGCGCGTACCTTGCAGAAATGAGCTTCATCCAGCAGCGGTAAAGGACTTGAACCAACGCATCAAGGAAGGGATCCTGCAAGTAGACTCTGAGACGCCTCGGAGTGTAGAAACTTTGGTGCAACTGAGGCTCCTTCTTCTACGGGGTGCTGAGCAAGGCGTCTGTCTCGTTGCAGCCATCACCGACATCGGCAGTGCTCTGCTTCTTGAGACTTGGCTGACCGGAGTTTTTTTGAACCCGATTGGTTCCTTGCTGCGACAACTAGAAAGAACCGATGCACGTCTCAGGAATCCTGGCACTGTGCTGGAAGCTTCAGAACGCACTGTGGTGGAGACCTGGCAGCAAGACTACCCAACTGTGCCCCCCTGAAACTCTGAGAAAGCAATCCCAAGATGTCTGAGGAAGCTGAAGAAAGTATTGCACTGAAGCTGAGGATGGTGTGCTCAGAGTTCGCATCGTGCGAGATTCGCAGCGTGGAGCGACTGGTGGATGGGCTCTCAAGCCGCAACCTGCGAACTGTGGTGGGGATTTCAGAGCCCTTTTGTAGGGCTTCAAGACAAAGCCTGGCCCTGGCTCTGTCTTTCGCAGGTTAGCGAGTTCAAGCGGCCCGTCTTCGATCCGCGCCTCGGTGGGGCAGCGCAGCTCCTGCGGCTGAGGCGGAAGAGCTCTCTTTCTGGATCCGCCGGTTTCGCCTATAGACTTGGCCAGGGGTCCGCCGAAAAGCTTGGGCAAGAAGGGACCGTGTGCCTTATCTGCACACTGAAGCCTGCACAGCTCCTGGCTCCATGATCATTGCTTTGATCCGTAGTTTCATGACGGCTCGGATGGAGATGTCAGGCTACGCCTTCGCTTGCTGACAGCCTCGGCTGTGAGCTCATGACATCGTGCCACAAGTGCATATTCGAGAGGTCTGGCCAAGAAAGAGGCTGGCTGGTGATGCATCGTGATGCTCTAAGCCCAACCCCTAAAACTCAAGGCTCTCCAACCGAAGACTTCAGGCCCTGCAAAGCAGCTGCGACACTGCACAGCCTTTGGGCTGTGGCCTAGCAATCACTGTGGCACACGCAGAGAGAAGCCCCGCTCCGAACAATTTAACGTTTTCGGCAAGAGCTCGAGATTGAAAGCTGATCTCTTGTTGACGGAACGGATGGTAGGGGCATCTCGTCGTTGATGGGACGTAAGATGTCCCTTCTGGAGTGCTGATCGACTTCATGCCACAGTGCGGAGTCTCAAGACCGGTTTCAAGTTTGCATGAGCAAGTTTAGCGCAGTGTTGACAGCAGCACGCTTGATTCGAGGCCGGCAATCATCAGACAACTTGCAGAAGCTGCACAGCCCAGCTTTTGCAAAGCAAGTCCCTAAACCACATTCACGATTCACTTGGATGCGCAGAGCTCTGTCCGTCCGGACCTTGCGAGCGGCGGCCACCATGAAGCACTGAAGCGGCCGCCCACAAGATGGCACTCTGCCCAGGAAGAACCGTTTCTTTGCTTGCCAAAGTTCGACCTGCAGATTTCATCATCGCAAGTCATGTGCTGTGGGCCAAGGTGGTATGCGAAGTCGTGCGGTTGAGGCAGGGATGAAGTTTGTGCTACGCTCATCAGCACTCAACATGAGCTGTGGGCCGACGATTTCGCGGGTTTGCCTTGCAGGAATGCAAGCCCCTGCACCTTTGAAATTCAGGCTGGGCTTGCGAGCAGAAGCAGGTCGATCTTTTTGATGTTGCCCATGCGACAGGCGGAAGACATTTTCCACAGTTCGCCGACAATCGGTGGGCTTCCCGTCAAGGAGGAGTACTTCGAGGCAGCTTCTTCGGGTGGTGTGTCGGCTTCACGTGTGAGGAAAAGCAGCCCATAAGCGTCTTGTTGCTTGCGTGGAGGTTCCCCCCGGCTTCGACGCAGAAGCAGATGGCCGCGGCCTTTGTGGGGCTTGAATCCGGAGTTGGGTCACTCATTGCTTCAAAGTCTGGCTTGCACCATTATGTCTTCTGATTGCTCTTTCTGTACTGAGGCCTCGTGGTGCCCTGGTTTCTGACCTCCATTGACGGCTTAATCATTCGGGAGGCTGCCTGCTGCAGCCCTTTGCACGTGCGGCGCTTCACCAGTCTTGGCAACGCTGGATGTGGCAATACCGCAGGCGGAAAGTGGTTGCATCCTCCGCTGTTCGGTTGGGCCCAAGGCACAGCCAGAGCCCACAGATGCCTAAGCAGTCCTTTCAATAGTTCCTGTTGGTCTTAGCTGGATTGCGGATCTGCTCGTGCCAGTAGCGTGTCATGCGCTCTCTGGTGGCCAGGTGGACAACTCAAACAACAGTGACTGGCTGCCGTCTTAGTCTCGCATGCCACTAGTCCGACAGCACTGAAAACCCGAGCGCTCGACACTTTAGATGCCACAAGATGCCCGATCCCTGTGTCTGTGAATATGTTTCACAGACCTCGACATGCCCCGCCCCCATCTTGCAGGCTGTGCCAGTTGCCACACTCACACTCTTGTGTACTCCTAACGGCGATGGGGCGATGATGGCCGAACATGCCCGCCAAACAACGGAGCACTCGCTGCAAGACACTCCAAAGGTAAGGTCTTCATCACGTGCACGGAGGAAGAGTCGAGGGATGCCATGACATAGCGTAGGGAAGTTGGGGGGTGGCCGGGTGTGCAGGCATGGAGGCATGGTGCACGCAGACCTTGCCCTGTGCTTTGTGCAGCTGAGGTTGCAGCTCCACTGCCTGGATTGGGACCCGGTGAACGAGGCAGGTAAGTCATACTGTAATGTACAGGGTTTTGGGGACTGCTTGTTAGAAATATACTATAATGTACCCCCCCAAACCCTGTTAAAATTAAGGCCCGTCTGCAAGATGTTTGTATAGCCGCAGTCCGGTGGCTATGGTACAGGCAGAACTCTGAGGAAGAATTGAGAAATCTCGTTCGTTCTCGTGATAAGCCTCGATTTGCCCACCCACATAACACATCTTACACGGTTGTATTCTTGCACCTGATCTCCAATGAAGCAGGAGAGCTGGCTCGAGCTGGGGCAGCGCCACTTCATCGGAGCCATTGGGCACTCTGCCGCCTTGGCTTCCTTTCGATTCAGGAAGAGCTGATCCAGACTACTGTGGACGAGACGCACGCATTAGCTGATTTTTAGCTGCCCGTCACAGCCGATGGCCGATGGTGCATCCGTGGCAGGTCCAGCTGCAGCTTACATTTCGGCAGCCCCGCCTGCTGTGTCCTGGGATGCCTCCAGGCATAGCATGTTATTGCATCAGCTCTACCCATGTGCATTAGCTTCTCCACAAGCCAGAATCCCAGAATCCCATGGCAGGAACAAGCCTGGGCCATGGGGCCAAAGACGTGCCGACAGACCAGCTGCAGCAGACGCAGTCAGCTGTGCAGGCAAAGGGGCCAAAGGGGCCCAGGGAATCTGGGAGGCAAGGTCAAGCAGAGCGGCGAAGCTTTCCTCCGTTGCAAGGGGCCCATGGAAGCCTCGACGCTCGCCACCTGGCTGTCCTTCGCATCCGAGGCGAGCTCTGTTTGTCTCACGGAGAGCCGGACAGTTGGTTCGGTGGACCTCTGCCAGGGCCAGGGGCATTCTGGGAGATGTTTGCGCCCGCTGCCAGGTGGAGTCTGCACCTGCATGTACCGTTTTCCTGAATGTGCCCGCGCCCCAGCCAAGTGCAACCTCTCGTGAGACAAGGGCTTGCCAGGTGTTGAATTGCTCTTGCAGAAACGGCATTCGATTCAGACACATGCCGAACTGGACTCGGTAAGTTCAGCTAACAGCATCCTGCTAGTTTCCGAACTAACGGCAGACTTAGCAAGGTATGACTTGGCTCCTGTCACGTGGGCGTCCCAGCGTTGGTCTCGCTACGCCTCAGAGCATTGCCAGAATGCAACGTCGTAGCTGTTCAGCGCGAACTTGACAGCAAACTAGCAGATGTCTGAGGTCTGTCGTGAACTCCTTCCTTTGCAACACGATGGTTCTGGACTGAGACGTGTACTTTTCCAATGCCAGTGTCTTTGTTGGGATTCCAGGGCAGGTGAAGATGTCATGAAGCTGGCCGTGTGACGATGTGCCTCCGCCATGCCGCTGGGATGTGTACGAGTCTGTATGAGTCTTCATTCGGAACACGGGGTGACGACCTTTCGACAGTTCGGTGGCATTCTATCAGAGATCCAGCATGCCGCTCGAGCAAGCTTCCTGCAGCCGGCACTTGAAAAGGAGGTTCTTGGAGCTTGAAAATCTGCCTGTGTCCGCAATCACGAATCGTTCAAGCACGCTCTTCGGCACATGCAGCAGATGCACCCCCTCCCAAAAAGGAAGACTGCTCTCGCAGCAGTCGACTTCTAGTGGATGTGGATGCTTGGTAGAACTTGCACAAGATGTCGTTAACTCTATATGATGCAGAACGGGATTCAGATAGTCGTCTCCCCAGCGAAGCTCCACAGAAAGACATATTTCTCAGTTTCCGAGGCCACATGTGGGCTTCGCACGACCCAAGAAAACACATCAGCTGCTTCTCGGAAGTGGAGTTCTGAGGTGAAGACCTTCGGTGCGTTCCATGCCACCATTGAGATCTATGGACAGGAATGGCCGCGGCCTTACTTTATGTATGTCGCCTTCGAACCCGGCGAATTGTACTTTCATAGTTCCCGCTCCTGGTGACCTTGGGCTGCCGACCAGGGGATTTTACCGGCAAGCAGATCCGGAGCAATGCGGTGTGTGCAGGAGCAGTGATGTTATGGGGGAGGGCGGCTCAATGCAAGTTGCAGCGTGCACTTAAAGGGCAAGCGCAAGTCTCTACGGGGCAAAGCTGGCTTCTGACTTTGTTCTCGTAGCAATCGCCATGTCTCACAATGCCAGGGTCTAACAGGCTGATCTTCAAGAAGCCATGTGCCACATGTCTCACCTTCATGTCGCAGTCTTCAGCACCCTTTGACGAGTGTCCGTGAGCCTCTCGTCACCGGGCCACCACTTCTCGACCGACGACATTCACAGGAGCCTTCAGCCGCGGCAGCATCCCATCCACGTCTACCGGCAGTCCGTGAACTTGGGGCAGACGCGGCTCACGGACCCGGAGGGTTCTTACAGGTCCTGGCCGTACTTGTGGCGCAGTCTGCAAGCTGCCGTGCCCATGTGGCTCCAAACCGGGCAGCCTCGTGCATGCATGCATCCACCCACAAACTCCGCTAGCTTACGACAACGTGGAAAGTGCCTAACCAGCTTGCTATCCTGATAACGCAGAGGTAGCAGCTGGCCAAATTTTCCAGTTCATGTAGTTGGACAAGCTGCCGGTGTTTTGGACATGCATTGCGGTACATGGACCGTGGAGGACCTCAGCCACTTACTAGTCCACGAACAGCCTCGCCGATGTTAGGTCTTATGTGAAGGACTGGAATAGACTCAGTGAGACTGTCCTTTCCGCATGCCGGCAGCAGAGGCAAGCGAGGCACGTCCAGTGCTTGAGATCCAGTCCGAGTCTGGTAGTGTCGCCGAGCCATGACGTAGATGTCACTGAACTGGGACCGCCAGGCCTCTTTAGCTCAGGGCGCGGAAGAAGGGCTTGAGCCTCAGACTGCGGGTCTTGGGAGGAGGCCCGAGATTTCTGAACTGCAGTCCCAGGCATGAAGAAGGGCTCCTCACCGGGCCAGGAGTCGGGAGCCCGGGCAATCGGAGGTCCATGGAGACTACGGCAAGGCAGCGGTAGGACGCGGGCTCCGAAGGCTTCCTCTTCATGTCTCTCTGAGTGAGGCGTCCCCAGGTGCTGCTCTTTCACATGGATTGAAGAGGCCATGTTAATCAAGTCGGGGTTAGGGTTGAGGGGTTTAGGGTTTAGGGGTTTCGGAAGGTTTAGGGGTTTA